TAAACTTGGCTAGTGGCCCCGATCTCTTGTAGCAATCCGTGAACCCGTGAATCCGTGAAACACTTCATTTAGTGTAGTTGCTTTGTTGTCCGACGGTTGTCTACGCCACATTTAGTATCCAGTTCAAAGCACCATTAAGTGCTTTTTGATGCAAATCCTTGTATTCACAAGCGTACTGCCCGGCACTGAGTACGCAAAGAGCGGTGCTGCTTGTACCTTACAGGCGAACGACAGCCGCTGAATGACAAGAGCAATACCGCTCCGGGAAATTTGGGTAAAAAGCCTTGCACCTTTGTATCAAGCCGCCCGGTGTTCGCATGATTGAATTGATTTCTCGAAAGCTACGGCGTTTTCAGGTTTGCTACTTCACAGTGTAGAATGTTTATTTATACTGTGTGTTCCAGAAATAATGAAAATTATCTACTAGGCGATTTCTTTAAGGGAGTGAATCCTCAAGGTCAGTAAGCACCACAGACTGTGAATGCTTTTGCCACCGTAATCAGAACTCGCGAATTGCGGAAAACGCTGAAGAAGAGCACCAGCACACAGAGGGTAAGTTCCATTATCACAACAGTCGGCGTGATATGATACGCGATCGGTTGCACACCATCGGTCACTGGTAGTAGTCGGCCGTTCAGAGAGCACACGAGAGCCCAAGTCAGCTTTCCTAGACCGCCATCTGGGTTGAGTTGCAGCATCCTCGACTACAAACGGCAGGCCGCCGGTTGCGGACGTTGAGCCCTGACGCAGCAGGATTCGCCCCTGAGCAATGAACCGTTTGAAGATAGCTGTGGGTTCCAGCCTCTGAAGCTTGTCCATCGCTCGGTTCAATTGTATACGGAGGCGTCAAAAGTAGTCTGCTGTGGTCTGGGAAAAAGTGTTAAGGGTACACCTTTTTCCGGTAGGTGGTGATCAGACAGCCATTGTTGGTGGATTCGGAAGCAAACCAAGATAGTCTATGAAGATAGTTCTTACTGCTTGGGATGGACTGATCTCTAAACACAGAGAACAGATGTGTGCAGGGGAGCCACACCGCCTGGTAGAAAGGGCGTGTGCATTCCACAGCACAGGTGTCAACAGTCTGGGAGCCCCTGAGTGTTTGCACCAAACTTTAAGTTATTTTACGTAGCCCGATCCCACCTTGTTTGTTTCAACACTTCCATACAGCAGCCGCGGCGGTCGCGGTCCCAAGTGCCTCAAAACGAGAGAGCATGCGTAAGACGCCGTTAGACATACTGCGTCTAGAACGTAGGCTTCACCCTCCAGGGTTTGCCGTTTCCCAGGCTAGTACGACATATGCACCTCGAACTCCCGCATAAGCCACTCGACGTGACGGGACACCTTTTGAATTGCATGCTCCAAAGTATCGGAGTGGTGCAATCGCTCTTTAAGGCGGACGTTAGCGTTCTCCGATCGTTTGTTGGTCACATTACCGAAATGAATCATTCCAGACTGTGCCCGTATAGCCCATTTTCGGGTGATGTACACCCAGCGGGCCGTACGATAGGAAAAAAATCAGCGGTCGGTGCGGCGCAAAGCTGCAGGTTTTGCTGGGATTTGTGTGCCTGTGTTTCGATGGAAAAGCCTACTGCACAGCGTTGCCCAGACGAGCCATGCAGTGGAATATGTGCCGGCTATTCGCAGAATGTGCCTATGACCGAAAATACACGAATATTAAATGATACACACGTGCTTCCTGATGTTTTTTTTCGGACATGAAAGTAGCAAAGCATAACTTCGCAGCCAAACACGGCTCTTTCTGCACGCATTTGTGCCGTCAACATGTCCGTTACAAAGGTCTTAAAAGGATAAGTTTCCTCCGTCAATTCTTTGAATAAGCCGAACTGTTTACGCATGGGGGCAAACTGCTCGCTCTCTACGAATGCATACACAACCGGACGCCCGTTTCCCATTCCGTGCTTTATCAAGAAAGTGTACAGTTTGTATCACCCAAGGAAGGTTGCTGCGTGCGTTCCGTCTACATTCACTACATCCCGAAATCGTCGGCACAACGCCATCTGCTGCTATCGGGAGAAGCATATATGGCCATAATGACCTTCCTCTGACTGGCACACAAACACGCGTCCGGTCTCCCAAAGTTTTGCCAGGACCGAAGGCACATCATCTGCCACATTGAAACCCAACTATGCGGCACCTACTCGACATAGCCTGTCGACACTTTCGGCGGTAGTTGGATATGCCTTGAGTGGTAAGAATCTTGCCGAATTCATCCACCACACACCGCCACACCTCACATGAGGGCGTTCCATATTTCAGAAGGGCCTTGCAGGTACCCAACTCGTCTTCGGTTGGCCGTCGATTAACCGGAAGCCGGTCATACAGGGACTTTGACGACTTGTGATTGTGTTCAGCAAAATAAGAGGTCATTGCCAGTTGGGTCCCTTGCCTCCACAGACAAAACCGCACTGGACACCTGGTGCTTCGTGTATTTGTTTTTACTAGAAACTACGCTCGGCTTACCGGCTTCTTCAGATTCCACGGAGTTTCGTTGGTCTAGAAGGGTGCCTGCCGTATTTGTTGTGCACCCATTCGTAACGCAAAACAGCGTTGGTGCTTCGATTACTGGATGAACGCACAAATATCACAAAGTTATCCTTCATGTATTGATTTAAGGTCTTCTCAAATGCCGTGAAGAATGAAAACGATACA